AGCCGGGGACACCCTGCGCGGCACGGGGGCATCTCAGGCTGCCCTGACTCTGCATCGCGCCATGGAGCTGGCACGTTAGGCTTTGTCCCCACCGGGGCTGGGAGAGTGTTGTTCCCTGCGCTGCGCGTATGGGTGCCAGGCTGTGCCGCAGCGGCACGGGGGCATCTCAGGCTGCCCTGACTCTGCATCGCGCCATGGAGCTGGCACGTTAGGCTTTGTCCCCACCGGGGCTGGGAGAGTGTTGTTCCCTGCGCTGCGCGTATGGGTGCCAGGCTGTGCTGCAGCCCTGCTGCCCTGGGACGAGGGGTTGCAGCCCTGGGGTCTGCTGACCTGGGCTCTGCCTCCCCTCGCAGACTACGAGAAGATGTTTGGCACCAAGTGCCGTGGCTGCGACTTCAAGATCGATGCTGGGGACCGGTTCCTGGAGGCGTTGGGGTTCAGCTGGCACGACACTTGCTTTGTCTGCGCGGTGAGTCGCATGCCTGCCTGCCTCCCTGGGTGCTGGCAGGAGGCTAGCAAGGGGCCTCAGCTCCCCGCTGCGCTTGTGCACCCCATGGGGGTCTACCAGCAGCCCAGGGCCTCTGCTGCGGTGAGGTTTTCCGCCTCGATCTGTGCTGGTGGCTCCAGACCCTGTGCAGCAGCTCTGAGCCTGCCGCTTGCTGGCGTCTGCGTGATGCTGGTGCTGAGTCCCAGGGCAGCTGGCAGGGGCAGAGCCGCAGGAGGGTAGGCCGGGCGCTGGCTCAGCCTCGCTGGCTGCGCGTCCTCTCCTCCCCAGATCTGCCAGACCAACCTGGAAGGGAAGACGTTCTACTCCAAGAAGGACAAGCCGCTGTGCAAGAGCCACGCTTTCTCCCACGTGTGAGGGGCGAGAGTCCAGCTGCACCCACGCATGCCCCAGGCCCTGCATGCTCCTCTCCCCCCCGTCCCCTGCCCCCAGGGAGCCAGGCTGGGAACTCGCCCCTTCCCCTTGCTCTTGCCTCTTTCCTGGCAGCTCCTGGCCCTGCTCCAGCCCGGAGGCAGCGCGGGGCCCTGAACCCCTTCTGGCTGGGTTTCTTT